GTGAGGAGACCAGCCCATTACCCACTACCCACAGCCGGAGTGGCTCTGACTGACCTTCTGTCCACCCAGCCTGTCAGCCATCCATTAGTAGTCCTGCAAGTAACCCACCTCCACTTGGCACGGCTCTTGGGAAAATACATGGAGTAAGAACAATGGCGGCCCAGGCCAACCAGAAGGATGGGCACCGCCATGGCGGTCAGGCAGCATGGATGCTGAGTAACAAGCGGTGAGTAGAATGAGCTCTAGAGTGAGCTCCTGTCTGCCCATAAAATGCTGGGGCAGAGGACGGGGCACTGTAGGCACAGAGAGGAAGAAAGGAAAGCCTGCCGGGCTAGGCCCCCTCTCACCCTCGACTTGTCCGTGGGAGACCCAGTCAAAGAAAGCAGGAAGGAGAAGTGCGTTTCCTTTGACTTCTCTAAAGCGAGCCTTCTTCAAAGAGGAGAACAGGGAGCTTACTTAGGGTGGATAAACTATCTGATGTCCATTCCGAGAGGCCTATTAACGGATGTAAAATGGAAAGATGAATCAATGGGACTGATTAGGATTCGTGAAGAGCCGTACTAGGCAGAGAGGAGAAGGCTTATATGTTGGTCAAGAAGAGATAGGGGGAAAATGGATCTGTTTGGGTGAAGTTTTGGTTTTGATCCCCGAGTAAGCTTATAGGGCAGGAATGTAGAGTCGAAAAATAAAACCCATATCTGGAAGTTATTAGCAGTATGCACAAAATTGCTGTTGGTTCCTACTTTTTGTGTGCCATCCTGTCTTAAAAATAAATTTGATTTTGTAGAGGCAGTTGTGGTGGAAAAGGTGCTCTGAAGGGTAAGCATGTCTCTTATGAGAAGAATCCAAACTATTAAAAATTACAGTTTTAAGAAATGTAAAGAGGTACTGATTTCACTCAGATGAAAAGAAACTAATAAGCAGGAGAGAAATTGTGGATAGAGGTGAGTTCTGACTATAGCGATTCAGAGACAGGAACTCTAATTACACGGGAGCAAGAGGAGAGTTCTTCGGGAAATTTCTGGAAGGTTAAATAGGACAGCTCAGAGTCAGAATCATACTGTGATGAGAATCAGTGCAGAAGACGTGTTTGCAAGGAGCTAACTTGCGTCATCATCCAAGGAAGGACAAGGACAGAGAAGGAAAACTGAAGCCCCAAATAAATAACAGAAACCAGACCAACCCAAAGATGCTGAGGCTAGGGCACAAACACTCAGAAGGTGTGGCAAGATAAGTCAGAAGCCAAAACTCAGTTACCATATCATGCAACAGAACAACAGAACTCTTGGTAAAAATAAATGACTTAGCATATGACTCATACTGCTTTTCGTAGGTACTGTCGGGGAAAGGCTGATAATCACCCCCATCAGAGGTTTTTAGCCCATTGAAGTGAGCCCTACAAGCAAAAGACATAGAAACGATTATTGACCATTGTTATCTTTCAAGGAGTAGAAGCAAACTGACCTTACACATTGGAATTCGCTGGCACTCGCCAACACGGATTACAAAATATAGGGAGAAATTCTCCTAAGGACTTTAAGCAATATTTGCGAATGTGTACAGGTAAGTGTTGACTATCTGATCACTCTGGGCCGGGAAATGGTTCTCAGCAATGGTGTGATCTCTTTTTCAAAGAGATGTTATTTAATATTCACAATATTATAAAAACATGTCATAGCATAAAAATATGAACATGGCGGGCGGGACACGGCAGGGGGGGACCAGCAGACAGTGCAACTCTTAGGAGAAAAGATAGAAATCAATGTAACAACAAATAATAACAAATATTTGGTGAGCACGATGCTGTGCCAGGCACCATGAGAAATAATCCCTCCAATGGCTGATTAAGCTTTTCAAAACATGTCTGCAGTTAATTTGCCCATTTTTGTGAGGTGGGTATGGTTAGCCCTCTTCGTTAATGAGAAAAAAATGAGATCTAAAGAGGTTCATTGAATTGGGGATCTCCTGATATCTCGATTTCTATGCTTCCCTTATACTTTCTAGGTTTAAATTCTGCCTCTATCACTTCTTAGCTGAGTTAGTCAAAGAACCCTTGCAGTTGTTATGAGGCAAATAACTACAACGTAAAGGTGTCGTAAGGATTCAATGTGTAAAAATGCTACACATGGCATCTGGCACATAGTAGGACCTCAGCAAATGTGGGGTTCTCTCCCTTTCCTTTGCTAAGTCCGAGCTGTCCGCCATGGAGAGCACCGCCTGGTAGGAAGAGCACAGAGCAATGCCTCAATGTGGAAGGAGGTGACGGGCCAATCAGTGCTCTGGGGTTGGGTATGTGAGTCTTCTTGGGCTGGAGGGACACTGTGCAAGGTCTGGGAGACAGCTGTTGGCCAGTTTGCTAAGCAGTGAGTTCATGCTGAGGACTGGAAGAGGGGCTGGGAGGTAGCTGAGGCTCTCTGCTGGGGGGTGGGGTGGGGCGGGGGGGGCAGAGGTCCTCCATGCTCAAGGGTTTCAACTTGATCTTACAAGTGAAGGGGAGCGAGAAGGTTTGTCAGCTTGGGGGCTCATCTGTTAAGATAAATCTGGTGCCAGTGTGAAGAAGGGACTGTCAGGGAAGAGGTAGAGAAACAGGGAAATTTTATATTTTATGCACAAACACACACACACACACACACACACACACACAAAGTCTTTTTCATTACAAAATATATATAACCCATTTGATCCCATTTTAAACAGCTAGAACATTAATTTTACTCTTGCAATCTATTCTAGAGGTTTAAAACTGTTGTGTTTTGGCTTTTGTGACATATTATGGTCATATCTAGAATTCATTTGATGTTAAATCAAGAATAAAACTCTAAATTACATTGTTGTTCCTATGGTAAAATATAATCTACTTTCTTCATTCACTTTGCCATAAACTCTCTAGGAATGAAACTTGATAAAAAGCAGGGACACACTACATACGACAATAATTAAATCTATAGTCAACAAATAAAAGAGCATGACTGCAGGGACAGGTAATGCAGGAGAAAGAAGAACAGACCTAAATACGTCAGCAAATCATACTCAAGTTTGATCCCCAGGATCTATTTTGAAAAGTGGGATCATGACATGTATTTGAGAAAACCCCAAGTCCAGTGAGTACCCAAATTAAGGAATGAATTATATTTTCAGAATGTAGTCTCGAAGGCCAAGATCAAGGTGTCAAGAAGTTGATTTCTCCCAGAACCTCGGTCCTTGTCTTGTAGGTGGCCACCCTTCGCCCCTTGGGCTCACGTGGGCTTTCTTCATTGGTGTCTCTCCTTCCTTCTCTAAGAACACCTGCCCTATAAGATTAGGACCCATCTTTATGACCTCATTGAACCATAATTATAATTACCTCCTTAGAGACCCCATCTCCAAACTGTCACATTCCAAGTTCCCGGGGGTCAGGACAGCTGCATAGGAATGGTGTGGGCAGGGAGGAGACACCATTCAGCCCATAACAAGCCTCGGAAGGAGTTAGTGCTGTGGCTAGGTTCCCCACCCAGATGGAGAGAGAGCCTCAGAGTGGGCTCACAGGGGGCCTCCGCCACAGCCCAGGTTGGAGGACACTCAGGGGCCTGAAACCCGGCACTGAGCTCCTGCAGGTGTGAACATCATTCTTCTGAGTCCTGGTTGCTTGCTTGGAGATATTTTTAAGTGTACCCGGTTTTTGGAAAGGGAACGGAGCGTTCCCTGCTCCCCAGCTCCCTGTTGCCAGAAAAGCACGTGATGGAAAAACCCGCCTAGGCTGAGGACAGAGCGAGGGCGAGCGGGCTCTCGGGGCTCCGAGTTGATTTATGTTGTGGTCGGTGCCTGTAGTGATTGGGCTTCCCCTTGGTGATTGGTATGATCTGGAGGTTGGCGTCGTTAAGGAGAGGTTTTTGTGATGACTTCAGAAAATTACTGTAACTAAGATGGTATTTAGCTGTTTTTAATTTTATACAGCTCATTATATCATGGTCAAATGAAAACCTTGACGTTGGGGGCAGGAAGTGTGTGGCAAGTAGGGGTGGGTGGACAGGAGGCCGGGCGGCTGCTCCTGGTGAAAGTCACTCAAGGGTCTCAGGGAAGGGAGGCGCACAGAAGGGGAGCTTTTCAAATCAACACTGGTGACTTCCTCTTCCTGGCAAAGTTCTCTACTCCAGAAACTCTGTCCTGCGAGTCGATGCAGACAGGAACTGAGGTGCTGGGGGATGGGAAATGGGCTCTAGGACACATGGGGGACAGAGAGACATGCAGCGGCGGTGGCAGAGTTCTGATTAGATCAGGCTGGTGGAGTACGCTGTCCTTGCTCTGCTGTCCTCGCTCTGCAACCCTAGGCCCTGGCTGCCAAAGGGACACAAAGCCTTGACGATCTCCAGCAGGGCCGCCCTGCTCAGGCACAGCTCTAGGCACTTCTCTGCGAGGTTCAAGAAAAGGCAGACTCTTTCCGAGTTGTTCCACACCTGGTGCAGAAAAGCAGTCACCCAACGCTGAACTGCAAACAATGTAGAATTCTTGGCACATCATCTGAGAAAGAGCTTTGAACTTCATGCCTGTCTCTGCAGTCGAATCCCACCGGCATTCTGTTGTGCGTTTGAAAGGGCTGATGTTAAGAGTGCTTAACAGACGAGTGGGAGTACTGGGGTAGGGGTTAGGAGAATGGGCTTTAGGGCCAGGCGCCCTGGGTTTCCATCCGGGCTCTGACACATTCTAGTCGTGTGATCTTGGGCAGCGCTCTTTGAGCATGATGATGGCACCTGTCTCCTGGAAGTGTCCTGAGAGACGGACACAACAGCTGAGGACAGCGATGGGCACGGGGCACAAAGTGGGCTGGTGTTATGGTTATTGGACAAAGGCTCCTATGGACTTTCCACGGAGCTAAGGGAGAGAGAAGGGAAGAGAGAGGAGAAGAGAGAGAGGGGCTGCTTGTACTTACCGACTCAAGGTACCCAGCAGGGAAAGGGCAAACCAGCCCTTGGGAAACATCCCTGTAAACACTATTAAAACTCCTTCCGAGTGTAGACCAAGGATTAGTTGACAGACCACATATTTATTTCCTCTCCAAGTAGAGTATGTTACATTTCCCTTTCTCTGACACTCTGGGGTCTTGAAAAGTCCAGGAAACACCTTTACATGCCTTGGCCCAGACTCGTCTTCCTGTCCTTTTCATCTTGACAACTGTCCCTGGCCTGGAGTAATGAGCCTCCCAGCCGCAGCCCCTCTGGGTGAGAACTGCCTTCATCAGAAATTTCCCCTCTGCCAATCAGGTACCGCAAAACTTTAGCGAGTTTAGACCTTAGAGGAATCCTCTGGTGTATGTCTTAGAGATGTCCAGTCATGTCTGGAGAAGATGTGAAATGAAGGGAAGCAGTGAACAGGAACTAGAAATTTCGAGAGAAAGAAAGGAAGAAAAGAAAGGATAGGAGGGAGGACAGGGAGAGGGAGGGAGAGATAGAAGAGAAAAGGGACATTTTCAAAGTTTGCTGCTAAGAAAGGGAAAACCCATGAAGTGAGCCTTTGTGTTTAAATATATACAAAAATATGAACCTTTGCAATAACAAGGATAAATTTAACATGCAGAAACATATACACGCTAGGATGATAAATGCGGTGGGATACAAAATTGTAAACACGGGATGATTACAACAATGTGAAAACCAAATAAAAACCGAAAATGAATTGACAGAAGGATTTCCAAAGTGTGAGCAGTGGTGGTGGTCTTTGGGAAGCTCGGAGGAAGTTTCTTCTTCTTCTTCTAGAACAAAAAGAATTAATAGATTTATTTCAAAGAGATAACTAGCGGCAGCGAGATTGCCCCTTTCAGATGAGGTCCCGTGGAGTCTCAGCAGGACGGGCGGGCGGGCGGGCGGCCCACCACTGTGACAGTCGTGGAGGGGCCTGGCCCTCTCCACTCCTCCTGCTGGCCCCTTCTCGGTTCCAGCGTCTCTGTCCTCTCCATGCCCAGCGCAGCCGAGTTTTGACAGATGTTTTTACCTCCTAAGATCTTCCTGCGCTGTCCCCCCTTCAGCTGCTACCAGACTCGGTGACCTACATGAAGGGGCTCTTGCCACCCTCCCTCCCTGCCTCCTGCCCCTTGCTCAGCTCCCTCCTTTGTCCGGGCACATCCTCCCTGTCACTCCCTGGCTTCTGGGTCCTTCCTCTAGTCCGTGGACTCTCCCGCCCTCAGGATAAAGGGCCTTCTGGTGTCAAGGGCTTCCTCGCTCGCCCTTCCCCACGGCCCACCCCACGCTCTGCTCGACTGGCTTTGGGCCTCGACCTTGAGCGCTGCCGCAGCCCGGGGAACATTTCTACCACCGCACTTAGCACACATGACTGAAAGTATCTGTTTCTTAGCCCTCATGCCCCCAAACTAGAAAGTCTCTAGGGGAAAAGACCAGGTCTTAGCCACGGTTGAACCCCCCAGTTCCGACCACAATCCCTTGCACATGATAAGATCTCAGTAAATAGTGACTCCCCTTAACAAAACTTTTCCACGCTTCCCCCTGAATGCAGCCCAAACCCCTCGCCTGACTTGAGGAACATGCAAAGGTTGATGTGAACCCCCTTCTGCTGCTCTATTTCCCACAGCCCCCCACCCTAGGCCCCCCAGCACGGCCATGCTGAATATTCACTTTCTCCCAAGCACACGTTGTCCATAGTCCAGCCACTCTCTTTCTAAGCCCGGAGCTCCCTACCATCTCTGGTTGGCTCATTGACGTCTCTGCTTGGCTCATTGAATTCTGCTTCCCTTTGTAGTCCCAACTCCAGCTCCCGCTCCTCTTACCATCCGCCCCCCAGGACGCTCACCCAACGTGTGCAGCCGTCCTTCCCTGCTTCCAGAACTTCTCCTGTGCTCCCCTCACTTCCCTAGTTCCACTTACATAAGCCCTGGGCCATGGTCGGCAGGCACTCGGATCCTCCACAGGGCCGTGTACATGGGAACCTCACAGTAAGAGCTGGGGGCCACGGGTCACCGGCTGGTGGGGACGTCACCAGGCTGGGTGTGTCTCTTTTGGTTCTTGAGCTGGGGATCTGTTTCTCATGCAGTCTGCACTTTGAGGGAGGGCCCTGGAACCTAAAAGGAGAGGTTAGGACACGCCAGCCCTTCCCCTGGGCTGCCCTGTCTCTCCTTCCTTATTTCCTGCCAAAGGACAAGTGGAAGACAATGGAGAGGCTGGGCTGACAGCTAGCCGAGCCCCCAGGCCAAGCCCCAGCAGACGAAGGACACCCCAGTCAGTCCTCAGAGCCCCACAGCCCTGCAGGCTTTGCTGGATCTGTAGGCAAATTCCTACCAGTGCAGAGGAAAACATTAGGAAAGAGAAAACCATGTTTGTTTTCTTGTACTTGTCGATTTCCCGTGGCTCCCTCTGAAGACTCTGCTGGCACTGGAGAACTTCCAGGTTTGGAATCCGTATCAGTCTTCCGTTCATCAGATCCCATCTAACGCCACCCAGCCTGCACCTTGCCCTCATTCAGAAAGAACTGGAAGAAAGTTCACCCACTAAATACATAAACGAATTAATCCAATTGAGACCGTTGTGCTTTTATCTTCCACATTCTCTGGGCTCCCAAGCCTTTCCTGGCCTCCAAGAGAGGCTTCACCCCGTCCTGCTTTGCACCCCAGGGGCTCAGGCTGGAGCCAGTACCAGAGAACTTAGAGCACCTGCTCAGCCTGCAAAAACGCAGGGTGATGTCACCCACTCACCCCTGCTTGCTTGTCTCTCCTCCTGCCCTGGGTGTGACGTCAACTATGGCACTTCTGGCCTTGAAGAAAGGACTTGCCCAGCAGAGAGGGGGTTGGCTGAGGCTACTCAGGAAGATTGGTTTTTTTGTTATTGTTGTTTTTTGAGTGAATTGAGGGGAGTGAGGCTTGCCCGGCTCGGGAGACCAGGAAGCACTGGTGTGAATATAGGGCTATGACCCCTGGCAAGTCTGGGCGGTGTAGAGGGCAGTGGGTCCTCAGTTCTGGTTCTCCAACCTGGGCCTGCAATTGTCGCCATTGTATGCAGATCAGGGCGGGCTCCTCACCCACTGTCAGTGTGCCCTTCAGGTGTTCCAAACTGGGGCATGGCCTCTGCTTAACTAGAAAGAGGCCTGGGCTGGTGACTCACTCTAAGTCACCTGAGAATCTGTAAACCTTCAGCTCTGGCCCAGATGGCCTGTCTCCCACGTACAGAACCTTCCCTGTGTCTGTCAGGACAGCCTCCCAGCCAAGGGACCTGAGAGGACACACTCGAGTTCTAAAAACCAGACAGTGGTGGGGACGAGACTCCTCGGGACAGGGTCTTCCTCACTGGCTTCTCCTGTCCCTAACCACCAACTTTTTTTCCCCCAAAAGATTTATTAATTTAAGAGAGAAAGAGAGAGAGGGAGAGAGAGAGAACACGTGGGGGAGAGGGGCAGAGGGAGAGAGAATCTTAAGCAGACTCCCCACTGAGTGGGGAGCCTGATCTCAGGACCCCGAGATCACGACCTGAGCCAAAAATCAAGAGTCGGACGCTCAGCTGACTGAGACCCCCAGTCTCCCTCCTCCCCAGCCACGAACTTTGACTGTCTTAAAATGTCGAGGCCCTTTGTGACCTCCTGGGAGCATCATGTCCTTTGAGCTTGTGCATTTGGGGCTGAGCAACAGCCCATCAACCAGCCTAGAAGGATCAGCTACCTAATCTCTACCTAATCTCACCTCCCTGCCTGGAGACAGGGTCTCTGCGTGTGTATACCAACGGAAAGCACATGGTTAGTTATTCATCATTGAAACTGAGAAGGACAGAACCACACCAGGAAGGAGATGCACTCCCTGGGATTTCATTCTTCAGAGACACCTCATCTGGGGACAGCACCGACCGTCAGCTCCTCTCTATATCCTCCAGGATCTCCAGTGTTGTATTTGGGGTCCTGGAGAAAGGAGAAAGGTTTTCAACCAGAATTAATCTACCTGACTCCAGGTTGCTGCAGCCCATCCACTTTTCATGGGAAAGAAGTCCTGAAAATTTCTGGGAGCCCCATGTGCCATGCAGATCCTGGTGTAAAGATGGCTGCCATTTTGTCGAATGCCAACAGTGTGCAGCTCGGAACAGAAATCACATGGACTGCCCGTCCAACAGGCTGACAATCACAGTGCCTTATGTGTCCCTGTGGACATCTCCAACTCAGTTTATATTTTAAAAGAAAATAAACACACCCTGACAACCATCTCCTGTACTTCCCCTCCCTCTGATAACGGAACAAACCCTTTACGATGTCAACGGCTGACTGGGGGCAAAGGCCACAGACCCTAATTCCACACCAAGGGGATGGGCTCGCCCTTGAGACTGTGCCAACTGGAGATCTAGGTGTAGCCGGGCCTCTCTCCACTTCTCAGGGAGGTCTGGAGCTGGATCCAGCTTCAGCTTGGATCCCGAGTGGTTCTAGCTAGATCAGACCCGATCCGAAGATGATTTGAACCTCTTGCTCAACCGTCTTTGGGAATCCTGCACTTTTCCACTGGGAAGAGGGAGCTGCAGAAACCTGCCTAGCCCTGGGACTCTGCCCAGCGCCCGGCATCCTGCAGTTTTGCTGGGCCCCTCCCAGCCCTGGTCTCACCCCAAGTGAGCTGGCAGTGGCTAGTTGGTCTGGTCTCACCCAGGATGCCTGTTTGCCTTGGCCTCTGTCAAGGAGGTAAGGGGGTTAAGCAAGAGCTTTCCAAGGGCGAATTCCTGCCCAGCGCCTGGTATCTGGTTCCCGAGCCAAGCATGGGTAGCTCTGTTTTCTGTTTTGCTGATTCCTGATCATGCTACACATTGCACACTGGCTCTGTCTTCTGGCCTGGGTATTCCCTCCCAGAAGGAGGAGTTCAGCAGAGGGGCCCGACGGCCATGGCCCAGATGCAGATCTTACATGGGAAGGCTTCCACCAACTGAATTCTCAGAGCCTCATAAGGCGCTTTAGAGATGCTCTGGAATTCTGTTAGCCCTTCCTCTGGGCCCCACTTAATCAAAGTGGCCAGGTGTTCTTTTAGAGCCCTCAAATACGCAAGGGCTTGATATCAGGGTGGTTTAATATCGGAGGGGCAGGGCATGGCGTAATGTGTGAGGCTGGGACTTACAAGGAGCAGATAAGACCCTTCTTTGTCATGATGACAGCTCTACCCAGCGTCACCCAGCATTTCTCAGGTCACCCTGTGTCACAGGGCTGCATCTGATTATTTTTGCACATAGGATTGAAATGTATGAAAGACGGTCTGAATTTCTCGGCCCTCCTCTTGAGCAAAGCTAGTAGCACAGACCGCGGCAGGCCATTCTTCTTCTATCTCTGCGAGCCAGAAGGTGAAAAGCTAAGGAAAACCTGCTCCTATCCCCATTTTTACACGAGGTTCTAGAATCTGCCAGGGACCAACCTGCTTAAACCTGTCTTGGCATAATTATGAACACCTCCCTTTGTTCTGCAAAGGGACAGCTGGACAGTGGATTATATAGTCCTCTGAGGTACAGAGGACATCGCATTCATTCCAGCCGCATTCTTTCCAGATGTGCAGAGAGCCTGGTGAGGCTGGAGAGGCGGAGGGTGAGAAAGGGAAGTGACTCGTCCACGCTCACCCGGTGATTCAATAGTAGAGCAATTAATGAGAATCCAAGAGCTTTGACTAAGGAGCGAATCACCCCTGACCCCGCCCTGCTAAAGGAATAGAACGGACACAAACTGGTTGAAACAGCACCGGTGCCAAGATGTGAGTAAAGCGGTGGGGAGAAGACTAGCAACCGAAAATAACTGGAAGACAAAGGGAATCCCTCAAAATGTGTTGGTTGAGAAGAGAGTTCCTGCGTGCCCGTGCACTTGAACGGGCTTTAGGAGCCTCACAAAGGGGCAAGCGCGAATAGTATTGTATAGCGAGCTGACCCATCCGAGTGGGAGCTCAGCAGCTGCCAGATGATGGGTGAGTTGATGAGTTAGCTATAAGTGACTGCAGGCAGAAAGGAAGCATGAAGGAGTCATTGCAGACAATCTGGGTGGACTGCATGGAGGAAGCAGTAAGCTCCCCCCTGCTGGCAGGTGGCACAGGGCCGTCCCTGCTGTGTGTGCTCCAAAGGACCCCGGGCTACCTCCAACCTTACTCCAGTGTTGCTTAGTGAGCAGAGTGGTGAGCTGGCTTCTGGAAGAGGAAGTATGACCAGGAGAAAGGGGTAGGACACTGCCTGGCTGGAGCCCAGTGCGACTGAGGAATGTGTGGGGACTGTGGGCAGACAGGCCTGCCTGAAGCAGAAGGGCTGGTGTGGGGGGAATCGACAGAGAAGGGAGAAAAGAAACAAAGACTGTCTGCCCAGCATCCTCATTTTTTTGGTTTTATGGGAAAATGGTGAAACTTTCTTGCAAGCGGCGATTATGGAGGGTGGGAGTAGGAGAGAAACCACGGTGATTTTTTTTTTTTTTTTTTTTTTTTTTTTTTGGACTGAAAGAATGTTTTCCCCAAACTAAACAAAGTTGGATTGAGAAATTCAACGTGGTACCTTAGGGACCTGGTAACTCATTGCTACTCTGAGGCCTGCCTTCCCACAGGCGCCTGCTTCAGGCTGTCTGGGGAGGAGAAGGGGACACTCCAACTTTTCAAGATCCAAACAGTTATGGTTCTCTTTTTGCAAAGTAGTTTTCGTCGCCTCCTGTGTTGGCACTGGAGTCCTTTGCAGTAGCATCTTTCCGTGTGCCTCAGCCGCACAGGTGAGTGTGCGCCCCGCCCCCCTCCCTTACCTGCCCAGTGACCAGACTCCTCCTCAAACACAGCTGGGAGCCTGGGACCTAGGTGGTCCTCCCTCATTTCATGCCCTGCTTTGTTACCTAAAAGGTGATTTCCCTCAAGATGGGGATTAGCGTCATTAAAGAAACAAAGGCATCCCTTAATTACAAGCCTAAACCCTTGCCTTCAAAGAGGGCTGGAGGAAAAAGTGGTGTTGGGGCCTGGGTGGTCTTGCTGGTACCACTTCTTTGGTGATTTGATTCACTGAAACCGTTCATTTTAGGACTGCCTTTTTTTTTTTTTTAACAGAAAGGTAGGAACATTTGACCTTCTTTAGCAAATTGTAGTGATTTTTAAGTAAATAAAAAAGTCAGCGGCCCCAGCCACAATCTCCCGTGTCAGACGTAGTGTGTCTGGTGACAG